TGAACTACACTTCACTGCTGTAAACGGAATGCGCAATGAGGACATTGAACCAGAAACAAGGAGCTGCAGATGTGAGGCCGATGAAAACAAGATAAAATAATAGGTGCGTAATGGTCAGTCCTTGTTTCCGAGAGAGAGAGAGAGAGAGAGAGAGAAAGAGTACACCAGGACAATCAACGATGGGTCCGTGTTGTGTGCCACACTGTGAAAAGAAGTAAAAATTATGTGTTGTTGAGTAGATATGCATTATTTAGTGCTAAACACGCGACGCCAACAGTTGCAGTTCCGTACTTGTTGCAGAGCGGATAAAAGGAACTTATAAAAACAAACAATAAACAAACTATTGGTGGTAAAGAATAACAACGGAGAATGTTTGTTCTAAAAATTAAACTCAGCAAATTAGGGACACTCATTCAACCAGAATGCAATCCTGATAGACTGAGAAAATCCGGATTGTAACCGGACCGGAAACTGGGGTCGCCTGATACATTTCACACTGACCTGTCATGAGACCACTAAATCTGGTTCTCCCTGCCTAATGTTCACATAAATGCTCATCCTAAATCAATAGTACCCTATTTGACCCGCACTCTAGCTGACCAGAAAATGAACACTCCACACAAACTTATCACAACACCCTTTATTTACTTTTATTTAATTCTTATCATTATTACAGATGACGCTCATCGCTTTTCATCCCAGTTTCATAGTGAGTATAAAATTTGGAAGGAACTGTTGGAAAAGTTGGAAAATTTTCCATTTTCCTATAGAACTCTCACCCCCTTCACGACACAGAGGTAGTCTCAATTTTCAAATTATTTCATACTACTCTTGCCTTGAAACCGATTCGGTTTGCCAAAGCAAGAAACGAAACACTCAACTTTCATAGCAAACCAAAAACGCAGTTGATACATTGCAGTCCATCACCACTGCTTTGCCAGGTAGAATATTGCTTGAGAGCGAGAAGTAAAATTCACTGAGCTCATAGAGTGAAAATATTCCAATGGAAAATAAACACTAAATTTTGAGTTTGAACAACCACAAACTGTGCAATTTCGTGTGTCGGTTTTGGTTGATGTATTTTGCTTGCCCATTTGGATCGACGAGTAGAGGAAGATCGGAAATTTGACTACGTTGTCGAACAAAAAATGTTTAGTTCCCCTAGATTATAGTTGCAGTTGAGAAGGTGCACGAGAGCTACTGTTTAGAAGACTCAGTCAAATTTCTCAATTGATTACAATGATTCCGGGATCCCCGTCTGGGGAGAATTACATGACCTAATTGACCGATGTTCCTGGTCAGGGTTTTCAGACCCTCGTGCCATCTCTGATTTCGAACACCCTTGGTTTTGTCCAACCGCTGCCTACCAAAAAACACAGTCATCGTATTTGGAAAAACCAAACACGATGTAATGAATGCCGGCTGGCAATTTAAAGCGCAGAACCCTTAAACTCTGTATTGCAATAGACATATTCCATTGCCCAGAATGAAGTAATGCCTTCCTCGGAATGGGATTCAATGAAGATTACTGAGTGAAGCGGTGTTATTATCTCCGCAACGAAATAACACTGTTAAACAATATTGGCGTGATTTTCAGAGAGTTCCAATTGTTATTTCTCAGACTTGTGTTAAAATTGTGAACGTTCAGTAGCTTCGGTGAGATTCGAACCCATGCATGGGCTCTGCCTACGCATTTGAACAGTGCACGCTCTATCAGGTGAGCTCCGAAGGCACAGTTATAGCACTGGTCTTTTCACATTCAAATCATCCCTTCAACCTGCAAAAGCATAGGGCATTCACCAGGTAGTATGTGAATGATCGGGATGTGAAAAGGTCAGTGCTCTTGGTGTGGTTTGGTAGATTAGCAGGTAGAGCGTGCACTGTACAAATTAGTAGGTGACATGTCGTTATTCGTAAAACCTGACTCATTTTATTCAGTTTTAATGGTAATTAGCATCTTTAAAGTTTCATTGTACGTTATACTTACAGGCATGACAAATGGATCAATTTATGGTTCCTAGAAAGATGAGGAGTCGAACAAGTTTTGTTTGTTCCGTGCACTGCTACGGATGTCGAAATTTAGGATCTATTTTTCATTCAGTTTATGCTTCAAAGAATCAATTGTAAGCACAGAAACAACGTGAGGTGTTAGAAAATTCCAAATAATGCACACTCTGAGGGAAAATGAATGACTCCGGCATTCTAGTCGACAGTTTTGGAGAACTAATTTGAATGAGCGTCCCCTGGGGTGTGTTGGGCGACAAGGCAAACAAGTGAACGTCATGGGTGATCAGGTTTCTGCATTATTTGATACGCCAAAATCAAGCTCCTTCGCATTCGACGATACTATGTGAAGTACTGCTGCAATGATTCCATTCTTTCCGCATACGTCTTTGAATGCAATCCTTTGACCATCTTGATAATAATAATGGCCATCAAGCCATTATTAGTCTACTTTCCATAATCAAACGAGCGCGTTACAGCAACCGATTCCACGCTTAAATGGCACATTCTATGTGAAGTCGAATTTAGGCTGGTAACAGAGGTGAGAAAAACATAGATTCGAGTTTGCCAAACACTCACTTTTGCCAACCAACATGTCTTGCGGCAGTGCACGATGCCCTGTAGCAGTTTAGTAGTAATGCCTTAGTTATTGATTGCAATTGAGACTGTACAGCTCATGGTGACAGACATTTTATCACGCAGATTTATTCATCATTATCGTCCGTGACAGGCAAGAGGTATTCTCAAGTGAGTACATAAAAATGCCCTTCGAACTGGGGTAGGCCTTAAATGTCCGTTTTTTGTTCAAATTACAAAACTGTTGCTTCAAATTTTCATTGCTGTACGGATTTTGCTTTTCTTTTACAATAAACAAGAGGCTTTTGCATACGTGGATAGTTCAAATTCAATACTTTACTAATCCCATTGTTCTGAATCAGACTAGTTGAGAAGCGTTGTATCGTTGCCATTGTCTGTCCCCGTATGCTAAACAATATACACAAACTGAACCATTGTTGAGACTAACTCACTGCATTTGTATCGAACACAGATTTCAGTTCAAGAAAAATGCCTTCTTAATTTGGAATTTGCTTGTTCCACATTTGATTCCTATTGATAAGTTCTATTTCGGGAAACACGTGCAAAATGGTGCATTTGTTTCTCTCAAACCACGGCCAGTGCTAGAGTAACCCAGTCATAAGCGTGATAAAGAGTGACAGATACATTCATTTACTCTTCAGTCGATGAACGTGTTCCAAAATACATGCGTATTGTTTGTATCCTCACTCTTTCCGTCCCAGTTCGTGAACCGGACTTGATAAGATTATTTTCCAGTTACATCTCTTTGGGAAATGTCCAACTTGAAACAGCAGACTTAGGAAAAAGATTTTACTCGTTTCAACAAATGTAAAGTTACACATTTGCTATTGTTTGTTGTTGTTACTGTTACATTTGTTGGATTTCGGTGGTTTATTTTTTTGTCATGTGTGACCTTTTCGAAAGGTGTCAACATAAAATTTTGAAAGTGTTGCACGCGGGTAACCAGGCCAAATAGATCAACTGTAAAAGGCTGGAACATTTCAGAAGCCCGGAGAACTGTGCTCAGACGATGTCACCGAGTTCAAGCTGTTCACATTTCAAAATGCCCTACTGAGTGTACTCATAATAAGTGGATCAAACATCCGGATAATAGGTACTTGTTTAGCAGAAATAATTATCACTATCACATCGCCTCGGGGATTCGAGTCCCATCACTACCATTATTACAGGTGTCTAAGTTCTTCGTGTCATCTATTAGTCCTTTACTGACCACTTTCCTTTCCTGAAAAATAGTTGTAAGATTGTCCATTCCAAACGCAAATGAAATTTTACTGGGTTCGACGTATTATTACTATAAGATTTGATTCTAAGCACCCATGTGCACGGTACTATTGTCAGGTATCTCTACAAGTGATCATATTTCCAGTACCCTTCGCATGGTATTTCTAAGGCTCGTGAAGGAACATCTGGTCAAGCTTTCCACTAGGGAACATTCGGAGACCAACGATCCGTGTCCTTTGGAACTCTTGGATTTCCTCGGTTAGACTTCACTCACCTATCTCATCGGTTTTGGTTGTTGTTTGCTCAAGCTGAAATATTATTCATCGTACAGCAACCACGTATAGCAAATACTACCACAACTACTAACACCAACAATACCATTGTTAATAACCCACTAAACTACTAACAACGTCAATGCTACTGATACTATTACCGATAGTAGTAGTATCACTGGAGAAGAGTCTTGCAAGCGCTGTACATGTGCGTAAATTGAGCAAACAGGTTAGGTTGATTTCCACCGCTTTGGAATCGTCCAGATTGCCTGGTAGTAACTTGTTGTGCTTACAGTGTTCAAACCGGTAAAAATTCTAGGCCTAATGATTTCTAACGTGATGGATAAAACTGGGTACAAAGTGCCTCCAGAGCTTTTAGTGGTTTGTGTACCGCTGTAATTCATGCGAGCATAACAGCATAAATAAATTTAAATCAATCACTGCACTACTGAATAAACCCAATTTATGGACTGCATAAGCACTTATAGATTGAGAGCAGAAACGGTGTGGTGAAAAAGCTCATTTCCAGTTATTCATTTTCATGCCATTACATAACACTAAATGACTAACAACATGATACCTTTATGGCCAAACTTGAGAATGCTCCTTTTAAGTTCTATATCAGACAGTGCATTCTATACAGACGAGTTCTTGTTGTTCCTCATAATAAACGCAATTTAATGATATCATTATGAATAACTGAAAAGGAGCTTTTTCGCCTCGTTGTTGTTGTTCTTATTGTGTTCTGAGGGACAATTGAAAGATTTATACATTCAGTATCTGGAGATATACAACCACGAAAAACCATCAATGTTGCAGCACTTTAACTCTATAAATTACTCAAACAGGATACCTTTTAGCAGTCCTCCACCAAATGAATTCATAGATAGCCGACAGATTTCATGGCAGTGAAAGAATCACGTTGCAAAATTATACGAAGTACCAATGGGTTAATTAATTATTTCAATTAAATAAAAATACTAACTCATTTTACGAGACCTTAGGATAATGGCAAATGTGAGCGAGGTAATGAATAATGAAAAAGAGTTAAATGACGACTCACCAAAATTCGATGACTGGAAGACGCGGTAGTTGGACTGTGTCCCGATGTAGATGGTATCCGGGCTTGGGGAATTGAAGCTTGTTTGGTTTTGTAATCCATGCACGGAGACCGACTATGAGACTGTGAAGGTATAATACACGTCTTTGTCGTTGGTCGGTTACGATGCACGGGGATGAGCCAGCCATAGTCTTCTGTGATCGGTGAACTAGTTGTGGCCGGGGTTGCTTCTTCTGCACTGAAATCGGCGTCGGCCGCGTCGTACCGCGGGTAATTTGCATCCGCCAGTCTGTTGAGACCAGGTGACCGGAAGTTCTCCTTGGCGCCACTCTCATTTGGCTGAGGGTTCGTGTGTGCAGTAAAATGAGCTTGTCTTTGACGTGATCGCCTAGATGAACCACCTCGACAGACCGGGTCGGACGCAAGTCTGTTTGTGGCAGCCGCTAAAATCGGTACGTGATCGACACCTGGCTGATTTCCATGCGGATATAGTTCAGCCAGTTTATCGTCAGTGTGCCCTGACCAGTGCATTCAAAACAAGCACCGAACCTTCACTGTCGGTTGGATCGATGAGACTGTCAAAACATGGCATTCTTTCCGTGCCACTTGTTGTCAGCTGTACCCATGCATCACGTGTTCACGTGTTCATGGAGAACTGCATATTTGCGTGTAATGCTGAGCTCAAATTTCAACCTCTAGCTCGAAACTACAGTACGAAGCCAGAGAACGCTTATGCACAGCCCGAATTATTATTCCGTTTGTCTGACACATTGTACAATCGATTGAGTAAAACTTATACAATCGTGGGAGAAATGCTCTCATTGACTCGTTTGTTGGAACCGAAACGAGCACATGGTATCAGATGCAAAGTTGCGTAAATTGCTTGAATAAATCTCGCCCAGTACAAGTTGGATGGAATACGATTGGTTCACACGTCTGGGAGTTTGCAATGACCATATCCCCGAAAGCCATTATAGATTCGGGAGACAAACAGGCAGTAATATCGCTCACACAGGGGAAGCAATTCCTCGCTGGGTGCATTGTGCGCCTGTGGATGAAATGAACCCGTGGCCTCATGGTCTTCACTATGTAGTGAAAACTGACACCGTGAATGGAGAGAGAGAAGACAGACAGATAAACAGACAGACAGACAGGTTAAGACGAGACCATGAACAGACATACAGAGAGGCCTGTGGTTAATCCACTACTGCTCAGCCAAATCGCCTCTTATGTATGTGTACGCGCGTGCAAGCACTGTCACGAACAAACTGGGTGAGGCTTGCAGAGACTGAAGGGCGGCAACTTTTTATTTACGAGGAAGCCCAGCATTCGCACAGTACGGACTGAATTATGCTCCCATGTCACACGAGAGAAACAAACAAAATCACACATGGCAAGGGTAGTACTGGTAGTAGTAGTAGTAGTAGTAGTAGTAGTAGTAGTAGTAGTAGTAGTAGTAACAACAGCATCAATACAAGTATTAGCGATGCTCCAATGCAAAAAAATGAAGGTGATACAAAAATTCGTTCGGAATAGAGCTATCAATATAAATTTCTACGGAAAGGAGAAAATGCATGGCCAAGCCTTGCAGTCATGGTAACTTAAGTCTCAAACGTGAACTCACAAACGGGCGAAGAAAACGAAACAGTTCTTCTGGGGGAAGAATCGTAATTCCACCAGCTTTGGCGGCAACGACTAAATAAGCCATCAATGAAGGCACGATAGCCATGATGATGTGGCACATTTGCCAATTTAACAGTCACGAACGAGAGCTTATAAGACCTTTTACAAAACCTATTCCACCGCAGTATGATTTTTCGATGAATTTAGAAAGATCTTGACCTCCAGTGTTCACTTTTAAAATTGTATATGCAGAGTAGCGTTTTGCCCACTTCTCCCGGACACTTGTTACAGCAAATATTCTTGCTGGATGATTTCGATAAATTATGCGATTACAGTTTACAACGGAGGTAATTTCCAGGTTGTGGCTGCCTAATAACCAGTTTCCCTCGTGGGTGCTTTGCGTAATCCCAGCCGCTCATGTCAAAAGCGCTTCGCAATGTTATCCTTACGTGATCAAACTCCGATGACACAAATCGTACTATCAAATTGCTCAATGATCGACTGGTGAATATCCTTCTTTGTGGTAAATGTGTTCTCTGAACGTCCCCCTCCACTCCGACGTTGGATGAAATTGGCAAAGTTACCAGAGATCTGAGCACCCTCAATATAACCATCATAACTTTTAACATGTAGAAAATCGGTGCTGAATACCAGAGAAAATCGTGGATTATAAAAGATGCTATTTTTACGGGACTAGACTGAACCTCTGAGTGGCAGTCACAGTTGTTTAGCTGTTCAAGATAAAACGTCGGAAGCTGAACATAATGAACTCAGTTTATCATCAGAACCATTCACTTAATTCCTGTCCGTTCATGACCGTCCCAAAACTTCGGTTTGTACTTCCGTTAAAAACTCAGATTTTTCGAATAAATAAAATTTCCGCACTTTCTCTTGTTTTTCCTCTGGTTTTTGATTAGTTCACCCTAGAGGAAGAATTGTTATTTATCACTGTGGGGTCTGTCGGATAAGAGCGAGCAAAACTATATAAACACTTAACCCAATTACGGGGGTTTAAGGTCAGCCCCGAAAAGGAGGAGAATGACTAAATTTGATCAAGATTTTCTGTGAAGAAGCATAGATTAGAGTAAGAAGAAACCTCATTTGCATATTTCAAAATAAGTGCTGGAGAAACACAAAGAACATCACAAATGTAAGCGAAAACTAAGTATGGGGATAGAACAGCTCCTTGAAAAATTTCGAAGTTGCTGACTGAGGGTTTACATGAATCCTTCCCCAATCTAGTGGTTTACACTTTACCAGTAAAATAGTTGGATAGCCAAGATAACATTTGCTTGAGGCCTTCAAATGATTCCAGTTTTTCTTACGACTTTCATCGAGGAATGAAATCAACTGCTAAAGAGTAGTCCAGAAAAACACCGAACTGACATAACAGAGTTGTTCAAAGACAGTGATAAAAGGAATAAGAGTGGAGACTGCACCCAATGTGGATCTGTTAGGCTTGTAGGCAAATAGTAAAGGATTACTGTTAATGTTTATAGACTGCTGAAGGCATTTGAGGATAGCTTTTTCAGTCAGCTTAAGAGATGAAGATTGTGACGCTATGGGACGAAAACGTCTGAAGAGGATAGAAGATTTGAATGTTTTGGGGATTGGTATTATTGTGACCGGCTTCCAACAGTCTAGGATAGTAGAAGTGTACAGTTCATTATTTGCTTTTGATGTGCTTGCCTTAGCTAGAGAAATAAAATCTAAATTGGATCATGTGGACCTGCTGCAGTGGGTGAGTTGCAGCCAATTAAAAGATTTAACACAACAATTTGTGAATGATTCTACATTACAAACATTGTTTGACGAGTAGGCAGGAAGAATGTCATCTGTCGTGACGACGTACCATTACTTTTCTACTAGGAAGAAGCAGAATGTATTTGGTATGCTGAATGAGCCAATGCCAACTCAAAGCAGCAGAGTAAAAGCATAATCTATTTTATAGAAAACTCTTGAAAATGCTAAATTCAAGAAGATGATTATCAGATTATTTGCGAAAGCTGGTTACTTTCAGGATAAAGGCTACCTGATTGAAAGCTTTGCACTTTGTGTCTGTTGATTATTAACAATATTATTGATGAACAAATCAATGCTTAGAATTTGAAGATGAAGAACTGGGCTATTAAAAAATCGAGGTGAGTTCTCAGTTTTGGTGGTCCAATAAACTCTTTGCGGACATATCTAAACATCGCAAGGATAATGAATGTGAAGGAGTGAATTAAATGGAATTTATCTGAATCGGAGAACCACAGGGGCTACCAGATTAATTTGAGCTAAGCGCGGATGCTTGGATTTCGCATCCACTACAAATCGTATCAACAGCGCTTTCGTTGATTTTCAATGCAGAGTCCAGCGGAGACCATCGATGATTTATGCTTTTGCTACAAATGAATCTTTACAATTCACTCATTTTTCCGGTATAATTGTGGTGACACTCAAATGTCTTTATTTAGCTTTTGTGATTATTTTTGATGCTCGTTAACCAAATCCAAAGCTGCATTTGCGATCAGTCCCACTGATGGAAGCAGAATTCAATTGATTATTTTATTTTCATTTTACTTCCATTTATTCAATTTATAATGATGCAATTTTCGGGACGGGGCAAGCGGCCAATCAAACGGCTGCCATACAACACAGAACAGGTAAAGTCGGGCAGTAGTGGTAGGATTCAAACACAAGTCCCCTGGAGCGACCAGTTGATGACCTTTACCACTCGGCCGCGGCCGGCGATTTAGTGGACGATTATCTTACTACGACCGTACACTTATCGAACCCGGAATCCACACTCAGTGCGGTGAATTAAAGAAAAACTTTACTATGTTTGTACTCAGGGTTTCTCAGTAGATTAATTAACTACCACATAAATTATCGACAGCTCCCGTTACGCTATTATAATGGCAACTGAGATATGCGGTCAAAGTTGTAATTTTGATTGTTCAGTACTTGAGGTAGAGACGTTCTATTGGTGTTTCTATGACAGTCTGTGGGCTAGCTAACCCTGATAGGGTCAACAAGTTAGATTTGAATGGTACGCGGACGACTTTAGTTTCGATCGAACAACTAGAATTGCAAAATGTATGATCTAAATCGCATCTCGTGCCCTACTCGTGTGATGGCCTAATAGCCAAACCCGTTGTAAATCGTGATGGACACCATACACTCAATTCTATGGTCAGCGTTAAATTGAAATTTAATAGAACAGTACACTGAGCGACAGAACTATTGCACCTCCCTAGACTTTTGGGTTATCTCTACTTCCGCATTACGATTATCATCACTTTTGAGACCTGAAGCGGCAACTGTAACACGCAGGACTAAGCCCACCGCTGCTACCAATTCCAAGTACACTGCTGCAGATTGATGCCGGGTGACACGATCGGAGTTTCTGGTACCAACAGCGATTTCGGAATGCCGAAAACGAACTATTTCGGGTGTATAACCAACTCCTGAACGTGGCTCAGCGCGGACGCTCTCAATGCACAGGTAGGAAAAGCTTCAGAAAACGGGTTCTCCATGGAAGGGGAATTTCGAAACAATGTGTAGGATCTAAAAAAGAAAAAGAAAAACCTTAAAACGAAAGGTCCAGTAAACTACGCACATGCCTCACATTCATTCTAAAATGGTAGTGACGTGCCCAGATTGCCTAGCGTTGCACAACCGAAGGCGAAATACGAAACTTCGTCAAATTAAAAACAATGTGGAAAATAGTATTTTAACAGTGAAAACATTATCGCACATTCCATGGACTTCATACATCCAATTCCGTTTTCAAACGGGTACGGTGGATATCACAAAGTTGTACTTTATCATTGCGACTGTCTACTATGATGAGTCCTTGGTTGACAGACGGCTGTGAGGTACGGTAATACTCACATCACTCCGCACGACATTGAAGGAGCAAT